TCGTGTTAACGGTTCCTGATTTTTCTTGTTTGTTTGTGTGAAGCTCTTGTGGTCAGTTCAAATATTTTTTTTCAAATTTCTGCTTCTAGTGGATCACTTAGTTGTTGAGTAGTTTGTTATGATTTAGGATCCATTTGCTGAGGAATTGCCAGAGGGGGTCTTCATTTAAAGATTTTCTTTCTGGAGTTGGGAAGAAGTCTCTTCTAACTTATTGTGAGTGCTTTTCTTTGAGGCTGTTCTGAACAGGATCGGTTTTGGCTTATTATTTTATGTGCTTAATTTTGTCATTGATTTTATGTTGTGATTGTTGATGCATATCCAGTGGGCTTGAGAATTCTTGAATGTGTGTAATGGAGTTCAGGGTTTAAAAGCGGCTATTTAAAAGTAGACTTCAGCAGTCTCACTTTCTAAGGGTGGTGGTGGTGTTCCGGACATTGGTTTTCCTATATGGCCTTGAGCTGTTACTCTCTTATCTACTCGAATCTTCCTTGTGTTTGCTCTTATGCTTTTTTTTAAATAGGTGGGTTTTATTTGTTAGAAGTGCAACCGAAGTACTTTAAATAATGGTATTAATCATGAATTTATTTATCTGCCACCTGAATTATGTGACGCGGTTCGCATGTAGTAAGTGCAGCTGATCTCAAGAAAGTGACTGGTTCATAGACAAGAAGTCACTTAAACTTAGTACAACTCCTGCTATCATTTCTGGTATTAACAATGAGTTGTTTTTAGTGCAGATTAGAATTATGTATTATTTGTAAATAGCGGTGCTTAGCATCAGAAACTGGCGGACGGCTCTTAACTCCCCGTTCAGTTCATTGGATTGGAAAACAACTCATTGTAATAAAAAGAACAGTTATTAACAAGTATCTATTCAAGGTTAATGATTCCAATCTCCATACTCATGAATAACACGACTTGCCTGCTTGGTCAGTCCTGATTATCGGGCTATAGAACGCCGGCTTCTCTGTTCGGGAGTTTAAACATCTCGTTTAAAAAGTTGACGCGAGGGGGGAGGGCTGTGTGTACAAGTATCAGACGCCTATACTTCTATTTTATAAATGCTGCGAAGTAATTCGCTGTTTTGATAAATGGTTCTGACATTCGAGATTTACTTTGCAAAGAGGCCCAAGAATGTTACACATCACCATGTAGTGCAACAATTCAAGCATACTAGCAGAAAACGAAGGTCAGGCAACACATAAGGTGGAGTTTGATTTATGGACAAGGATGTGCAAAAAGTGTACACTTAGATGCTAATGGTGGCATTCCATCGCATTTTGGAGCTCATCAGTATCGTTAGTTCCCCTCGTCTTCTTTTTGCTAATTTCAGAGAGGTTGATACACCAAGAAAGTGCATTGCAAATGTTCCATCTATGTCTAATAGGATATGCGTTTTAGAGGGACTGCAGTTGCAGAGATAAATTTTTAGCTAGGTCGCATTCACGTAACTCGCCTCCAAAACTTATTCATAAAGAACCCTACTGGACATACTGTCATGAAAATGTGACCCCAAGACGCCGCGTCATTAAAATAAACTCTTCTCTTTTCACGCCCTTAAGGTTTTTTGGTTCGTCGCGTTTAACCGTCTGGACTGAGGGGGACATGTGAAAGTGATAAATATTTCGGCCGACCGGGGGTGGGGAGGGATCCCAGTGACGTTATTAGCGCCAGTTGCCTTGTCTGTGTTGGGGTGAGATTCTGGGTGAATGACCCAGTTTCGCAGCTGGGCTGAGAGGTTGACAGGTAATCTCAATCTCCCTGTGGTTTAAAACGAGGTCCTGAAACAATCTTTGATGAATGAACCCGCCTGAATTTAATGCCCGATTTACAGAATTCACTATGGTCAATTACAATAAAAGTCGCTATATATATATCGTTTTATTAGCACCTTTAATTTCGCTGGCCACGTGATTTCTATTGTTCTCATTACTAGCTAAGGTTCGTGAGAATGAATTGTTTGGCTATTTGAGTTTAGTCATTATTGAGCACATCTTCTGAATGTCATATTTGAATGGAATGAATGAAATCCTTTAGTAGCCTAAGACATACCTTTAACTTCAACCAAGCAAAGTCAAATTGTACTCGAGCTATTTTCCTCTAATGTTATTTATTATTATTATTGTTATTATTATATCAAATGACAGGCGTTTTGATGGTCATCATTAGCCCTTTAGTTAACTTCAGGCTTCACAGAGGGGAAGAGGAACATCAAAGTGAAAAAAAGTCGAGTGGGGAGGAGGGAAAAGAAGAGTGTTTCAAAGACTAAGGTAGAACAGGTAGAAAAAGGTGAGGTGAGTACTGTGGAAGTGGTCGAATATGACATACAGTGGGGTGATGGTAGTTTGAAGTGAGAAGTCAACTGCCGGTAAATAGACCTTTTTGCCGTATGAGTATACGTTGCCCAGGGTGCACCACGTGGAGGTAAGTCTATCGCACACCCCTTTTCCGCTAATGCTGATATTTGTTATTAAAATATTTGCCAATAGTATTGCGATCAATAGGTTTCCAGTTTGAGTCGTTTTGCGAGATAAGATCCCTAAATGTTTCCTATTGTAGCGCTATTGTTGTCCTATCAAAGTTTGAACACCTTACTGCAGTTGAGATACCCCTTTTTTGGGGTGTGTATGATAAACCAAACTAGGTGACCTAGTTGTTGGAGTTCGATCAGTGGTGCGCTATGTACATGTATATGTATATATATATATGTGTTGTGACTCGCAAAGGGGTTAATGTCTCAGTCATATCCCTAATAGATGGGGATCATGGGCCGTGGTTACGTGTCCTCCATTGCATACACACACACACACACTCATTTCCCCGGGGACCTTCTTTTTTGGACACTTCTATCCTGAACTGTCAATGCGCGCGCGCGTACACGCTCGTGATGGGCAAATTCCTTCCTTCTTCTTGATTTTGCTGGGGAGACAGATATCTCACTCTATGCCATTTGTGTGTGTGTGGGTGTGAGAGAGAGAGAGCGAGAGTAGTATCATTGAGTATCATTCATGTTTGTAAGCCTCGAACTCTACCACAGCCCTTAACTTTGACTCTTTTAACGAGAACATTGCCTACTGCATCACAGCGAATAATCTTTCCTAGCACTAGGAATGCGATAGCGTAGCTCTGGCTCCGAAAATATAATTTAACCTGGTCAGTTGAGCTCTCTGTTTAAGCAGCATATACTAGCGATTGAAGTTTCATTAATTAGGTGCTACTACGGCACAGTGACTTTCTTGAGTACTGCGTGGGCGGGNGGGGGGGGGGGGGGGGGGGTTAACTCTAGGGTTCGAGTATAATCCAACTTTTTTTTCCTCCTCGATGTTCTCAATGACTCACCAAACCGGAAACTTGAACGTGTTTTTTGCCGAAGCATATCGTCTCAGCTAGCATTTTTTCACACTGTGTGTACATTAGCGTGTTTGTTGTTGGGTGAACTGTGCAGTGAATGCGTGCTTTCCCTTCCTTCAGGTCCACCATCGACCCCCCCCCCCACCACCACCACCACCACCGCACACACAGACGGAGTATGCAATGGCACCTCTGCTCATTCCTTGGATTTAGATGTAGTAGGGACGCCAATAAGAAATCGCGTATTTTATCAGCTACTGTTTGAATTCGCTTTGTGTAAATACGCTGTGAATTTAAATTACAAATAGTTTTGTCAGAAAGGGGCTCAATAACTGGAGGTGGGGGGGGGGAGAGGGTGGGTGGCAGTGGGAAAGATTAGCTAATGATGGTGGTAGATGCACAATAGGGTGTCATGTACAAACTTTAAGCAATAAACGGCGCTTTAGTGCTCTTTTTTAAAACGCGCAATTTGTAAGCTAAGGCATTCAAAAGAACCAATTTAATGGTTAATTAAACATGTTCAGGGACTCTTAGTGCGTAAACTACTCAAACTAGAGCATTCATGATTGGTGGTAGAAGGAAATGTTCCCCCCAAAGTATATGGAGGTTTTTGCTCGAATTTTGCTTCTCTACTGAAATTCTTAGCCAATTTCGCATCTCTCCCTCCCCTCTCTCTCTCTCCACCCCTTATCCCCCATGTCATTCAGTCTGAGTCTATAGCAATCCTAGGAAGGGATTCCTTCAAAATACGCTACATTGTTGGTAATTGGTCGTATTTTGTAGTTTTCAACTTGTCTGCAAATAATGATAACCTTCCAGCATGTAGTCGATAATTTACATTGAGTCTTAGTGAATGACAACAGCTGTTTCCTAGCGCCATTCTTCTTGACATCCCCACTTCTGTTTTGATTTCCTCAAGCAATAAATACTTCGAGAGTTCTAGAAATGGGAGTGGCACTACCAACCAATCCGTCACACTAATTCGTCTGCAATAAGGCGAATATGAACTAAGAGACGTATAATCACGGGGTCGTAACGTGATCCTTTAGTTCTTTAATCTTTGTTGTGGAATAACTGTACTCAGAATAGAATAAATCAATTATGTATAGAGCAAATCTTTATCATGCACCGTATGAACTCTCCCATTAATGTCTACATTTATTAACTTTCGTGTATTTCCTTAAAATTTAATAGGAATTTCACGGTATTTTAAACCGAAGGTCACTTCGAGCTCCCAATCTCCTTCTAACTCCCAAATCACTCTTCAATTCTTGACTCGCACGTGATCGTGCATGTAGTTTGCCTATTTGTGGTCTCTCTTTTTGGCTTCGCAATTCATTTGCATCTCTTGTGGGGTTTATAGCTCCCCATTTGTTTACGCCAAGACAAAAAGGTGAATTGCTTGTGGTGTGGTGGCTATGAGAGAGGGGACATCCCCACATTTATTTGGAAAGGGTTAAGTAGTTAACTATGGAGAGAGGTTAAAGGGGTGAAGAGAGAGAGTAGTGGAAGGCTGGAGTCATATCCAATGCTCAGGTGGAGAACACTGGCTGGTGAATTTTATCAAATAGAGTTGTGGTTTATTTGGTCATTCGGTGAAACTTCGAGGCCTGTCTTTTTTTCTTTGTGCTTTGCGTACTTTTAGCCACATGTGTGTGTGTGTGTGCGTTCTAAAAATGAGCAAATAAGCTAAATTGATGTATCCTCTTTGTTAAAATAATGTCCCTGATGTCTAATCGCCTTTTTTGTAAAAAAAATCGGCTACCACAGCTCTCCTAATAGTGTAAGCAATTATCGACCCTTTCAAATTCGCAAAGTAAGTAGAATAGAATATTAGATAGCGGTAAAAAGTAATAACGATTTTTAAAACTACGATTAATCCGTTTCGTAAGCTATTTGAATCGCACACTCGTTTCCTCTCAGTGTCTTGTTAAAATTCAGTTTTGCTGAAAAGTGCAATAAATCGTGTTATTGTTCACATTTTTTTCCTCCCCCCACCTATCTACTTTGCAATCAAAAGCACAATTTTTAAAGCACTTTTCATTAAGTTTCGGGCAAAGTTCTTTTGGTTTTAGACCTATTTTTTTCATTGATTAGAGATACCAAGACTTGATTATTCCGCTACTCTACGAATATATATATATATATATATATCTTTTCCTAAAATTGAAATAATCCCATCAGCGATTTCTTACACTCCCACATTTTACTGGATAACACGTCAAATTCTAGCTTAAGTGAATAATCCTATACCCTTTCTATTTCCTTCCAGGAGTGTTGGAGTGCTCGCATACTTCCTTCTGACCGGTAAATCCCCGTTTTTGGCGGAGAGCAAGGCTCTTACACTAAGTAATATCACCCAAATGAAGATCGATTATCCCCCTGACTTATTCAATTCCGTCTCTCCATCAGCGCTTACTTTCATTCGTGCACTAATCCAGCGCAATCCTCGGTAAGACATTTCTACTTAAATATAATAAGTAGACGCTTATCGCATTTGTGATTCGTCCATTGTATTCCAGCCACTTACTGAAAACAAATCTATTACCTGCTTGCTAATTCAGCAGCCTGGAATAGGCTCTAGTTGCCTTCACTTATTCTATAGCTCTCAATGATTCTCATATATGTATTTTCATAATTTAGCGCTCGGCTTACTGCATCCCAATGCTGTCAACACGAATGGCTTAGTTGGCACGCGGAAAAGGAAAACCAAGGAGAGATGGTGAAAGAGGAGGAGAAGAAGGAAACGAAGATTGAAGAAATCGTGGAGGTTCTTAAAGAAGAAGACGTCACTGTAGTGCCAAGTGGTGGTGAGGATGAATCTTCTTCGTCAGATTCTTCTTCCTCTATTTCTTCACCCTCACGAAAGCGCATTGCTCTGGATGATTCTGAAAATTTAGAAGCCCTTACGCAGGCCACGTCGAAATCGCCTTCTTTAGGTGTCATTCCGAACCCCGTATCTGCAATCGATACACCTATACCCTCTATTTGTTGCGCTGGACTTCTCGCACCTCGATCAGTTTTCTCTCTTGAGGGAGGAGGAATAGCTAAGCACCACCATCATCACTCCCGTCGACGCTCTGTTCTTGCATCAATATCACCACCTCCAACTTTGACGGAAGCCGCTTCACCTGTTGAATAGACGTCTCCCTCATCCTCGCACTGTATCTAGTCCTCTCTTTTCTTTAGTTCTTTTCAGGAATTTAATTTACTGTGTATAAAAGAGTCGGCAGCGTATGTTTATTTATCTCCCACCCACTGGAAAAGCCGATCTCTGAATTTCCTATCTCTGACTCTTTTCTCCGCCTCTTTTTCCGCTGTTTTTTCTCCTGCTGGTATTTATTATTTGCTTCGTGTAAGTTTGATCGATTTTGAGTGAGGTTTCGAAAAACTTATACACACTCTCTCTCCTTGCATTTCTAATATCTTCCCTTCTTCAGTCCGATTTTAATTGAATGATTTTAAAGCGCACAAGAATTGTTACTAGTTTGAGGGTGATCACTGGACTATGATTACTTACTTATATAAGTAGTGTGAAATTTATGGCCATTTGGGGTCGATTACTCCATCGTTATTGCTTTGCCACGGTTAAATCCATAGTGCAGTTTCTTGCCGAAAATGAGGTGGCAAATCTCCAAAAGAGGACCACCACTGTAGATACTTAAGGTTTGTTTTTAAAATTTCATTTCAGATCTTAAATCTTAAAAAATGCGTATGTAGAGACAGTAGAGGAGAGAAGGATGTACGAACGAGGTGATGTTGGTGAAGTCAAAATGGGAGAAAGGATAAGTTTCGAGTTAAAACTTGGGATAATTCTTCACACAAATAACTGAAATTTGAATGCATCACTTTTTCACGGCTATATTCTCTCCTTCAAGAATTTATGAGATAGTAGGATCCACATGTGGTCTCATCTGCTGGGAAAAATTACTCCCTCCTTTGTCTGCTGACTTATTTCCGAATGGGGGGGGGGAGGCGACATTTTAATGGAATATCAGTTGTCCCACACTTATAGCGGGCAACTTATTGGTGTGAGGAATTTAGTCAGCAAAAGACGGACTACTGTTGCAATCCTACGAATACTCGACAGACTTAAATCTTCTACAATACGCAATGCAATCCTTTCGGATGAACACTGCGATATTTATTCACATAATCTCATTTCCACATCCATTGTCTTTTTTGGGGAAATCTAATCCTGTATCAAAACTGACCCATCAGGCACATCCACTTTTTTGTGCATTGTATAATGTCGTGCTCGAAAATCATCCACCTATAAGCCAAATTTTAATTTTGTACCTATATGTGTTGGTGCAATACAATGGTAACTTAATAACAGAAAATAGAAAAAATTGTGTTGGAAGCCACAAAAAGTGTGCAAATGTAAAAAATGAGCAAATATTAAAATGTTCCAGAATTGAGCAAAAAGAAGGCTTACCTTCTACAATCTCTTTTAGTAAGTAGTAAGGTGTGCAACAGACTTACCTCCACGTGGTGCATCCTGTGTAACGTATACTCATTCGGCAAAAATATCTATTAACCGGCAGTTGCCTTCTGACTTCAAACTATCACGACTCCACTATCTGTCATATTAGACGACTTCCAGAGTCCTCACCTTTCCTCTTTCCAACCTTTGTGTCTGTCTCTTTTGAATCTGTGAATCACTCTTCTATTTCCCCTCTCCACTTTTTGTTACCTTGATTTTCTTCCTCTCTGTATAGCCTAAAGTCAGCTAAAGATCTAATGATAGCAACCATACGTGTTGGCACCCCTGTGATGAGGTGATCGAATTTTACTATCCTTTTCCAAATCCGGTTTTTGCACTGTAGTAGTTCATTTGACCAATCGGATGTACGTTAATGAGACTTTAATAATCCTCTCATTTTCAAGGCATCACTTGAAGGTAAATGTGCATAAAGTGGAAATGCTTTTAGTCCAGTACGAAATGGATTCCTGTAGAGCGAAATACAAACTTGCCTGCACAAGTTAGATTTTCCCAAAAACGCCCAAGTAAACTAATCTTTCACAAATTAATAGCCAGAAGTCGAGTTGGACACCAACATGAATGAGCAACAGAGTGAAAAGTGAAGAGAAACATTTTTAATGTAAGTAGAGGTGAGTGGTTTGTCCATTGCGCTTTTTATTGCTCGATGTTTCTTTTAAATGAGCAAAATGCTGCAATGCAGGAGGCTCAGAAGTCAATAGCCATCGCTAATCTCGCTCTGAAGGTCACTAGATCGATGGTTGACCATCCTCACTAGTTGAGACTGCTAGAACATCGGAATGGTATAGTAAAGATTTCTGTTAAAAAGACTACTTGAATGCTTTTATTTGGAGAAGTTGTAAGAAACTCCTAATCCCAGTCTCTCTCGTGCAGTGGAGTATCGGTGAGCACTTCGTTCTCTATTTTAGACCCCCTCCTACGTTTCTGTGCCATTGGTACTTTAAGCACTTCACTCGACAGAGGTGATTTTCTGTCCCAATCTGTCTGATTGCATGATGGTATTATTTGGCTGATTTTAAGAGGTTTGGTAATGGTGCTGTGATACATTTTCTGCTTTCAGAGAAGACACCATAAAGAAGACGGCTATCTACTCCACCCCCCCCCCTTTCCCGAATACATTACCTTCTGCTTATTAGCTACCAGCTGAACATACTCCGTTCCCTTATCATCCAACCGTTCGAATCATAATCCACACTTCTAGGGTTGTAGTGGAGTTGTGAATGCCGATAGAGTGGTAATTTTGCGCCACACCCTTATGGAAACTTGTAATTTTTGAACTGCTGTTATTCTCAGTCTCAAGACCGACTACTTAAACAAATTTCAGTTAATTCTCCAAAGAGTAAAGGAGGAGTACAATTTGCTGCATGAATATTGCAAAACTATGCAACCCCCCTTCCCGCAAAGCTCTAGAAAATAAATGCCACATGTTAGACTATCCGTCTTTCCCTCTATCTATCATGTAACAAATGTGCTAGTAGGATTCCGATTTAATTTCAGTCTATCTTATGAAGATGTCCAATTTAAGTTAAGTATTTAAATAAAACAATTGCTGACCATCACAATGGAAATAACTTCCTAAACGTTGGAAAATGTACAGTGTACTTTGCAATAGCCAAAATATGCCAATTGGGAATGAAATGGTTGTAGGTGGCGGAGGGGGTGGGTGGGTCAGTGCAAATTTAAATTCGCGGTCCATGGAGGTGCATCCATCCAAACGCGCATGTTTCATGTTTCACAAGAGCAATAAGACGGAAGAAACTGCTTCTATTGGCTATTAACGCAAGCCTCTTGCGCCTAAATTCGAACTATGTGCTGTAAAGCTAAGGGGTGGGTGGGGGGGGGGGGGGGAAGAGCAATTTTAGTAAAAGCTTGAGAATAAGAAAATATTGAATTATTATCATATTAGCATATTTTTTCACCTTGAAAGGCTATAATTTACTTTATTAAAACAAAACGTTCCAAAAACTCAAATCTATTTATTCCATTCTTTGATTTCCGAAGGGCCTATGTCCGCCATATTCACTGCTTATTGCCTTCTTAATTTCATTAAACCGTTAACTTACATTCATTTCCGTTATTTAGAGTTATCATTGAACGAACTTTGGCAATTATAATCAATGAAATAATTTAGGTACCGAGATTGTAGAAACTGCAAATACTTTCTAAATGTTTCAGGAATAATAATTGAAAGCGTACATTAATAGTAGATAAGAGAGGGGTGGGCGATAGACTTACCCCCACGTGGTGCACCCTGGGCAACGCATATTCTTACGGCAAAAGTCTATCAACTGGCAGTTGACTTCTGACTTCTAACTACTATGACCCCACTGTATGTCATAGTCGACCACTTCTACAGTACTCACCTTACCCTACTCTCTATCATTGTGTCTGTCCCTTTTACATCTGTGAATCCCTCTTCTGTTCCCCATACCTCGACTTTCTGTTACTTTGATGTTCCTTCCCCTCTGTGAAGCCTGAAGTCAGCTAAAGGGCTAATGGTAACTATCAAATCGCCTGCCATTCGAAATGAATGATATTAGATAAGAGAAACGGGGTTTTACAAAGATAGGTCGTGATGTAACCAACGCTATCTTCTAAGTAGCCAGTAAGCAACCTGATGAAATCGATTTTTAAATAAGATAACTCCTATCGATTTCCTGATGTCTATTTTCTGCTTTGGACAAATCCGGGTTCCAATGATTCTTGGTAATGGAAAGTCATTACCGAAAACAAGGTAAGAAACAACGTTTGATTATGGAAATCATCTAAGCACAAGCAGACAGGGTTTTGTTGAGAACCAGAAAATGACTCAATTGGGACACTTAAACCATCAGTACATTATCTTCTTACTTTACTTATGTGTCTGGTTATTTCTTGAAAACCCACATTATTGTACCCAAATTTTGCATGAGCTTTGTAACAGCCAACCACTGGACAATAAATTCTATAAATTTGTGAAAAACTTGCGATTCGATGATGAAATATGTTCGCCAGTGCCTTTGCGCCCATGCCACGCGCTTGCGAAGAGTCGATTATGCCGAGCGTGTAGGGGAACTTTTCACCCGTCTCTCCTGTTTTGTTTTGTTTGTCGTAAAGTCAGTTTTTAGTCAGTTTTTATAACCGACTAAACACAGCTACGAACATAACGGAAACAATGTGGCGTGTTAGATTAATACAAGCCTATATTTATATAATAATAATAAAAAAGACGAGAGAAGTTGCCGTACGAAAATAGTCAACAAATGATAGCGGGAAAGCATTAAAGATTGATACATGTTCTTGTTGTGTGAATCAAAACACAACAGCCCGTTGCTTAACTCCCAACACCGAAAAGGCCGCTGTGTTACTGAGGTTGGCATTATAAATAATCTCATTCCATTAGTGGAGCGCCTTCTTTTCGACTCCGCTCCACCACTCCACGTTCATCGTCTGCCGACCCAGTTGAAGTGCCTGCTGCCCGATTGTGATTTTCGTCTTGAAGTACCGAATGGAGTTCTCTCTTGGCAACAAGAACAGCGTCGTGGATTGACATGAAGAAGTTTTTCTCGGGAAGAACTTCAAAGACTCCGGAAGCGGCAAACATTTCATGAAGTCGATGTCGTAAGCAGGTCACAAAGATTGTTATCTCTAGTTCAGTGAATATCTTCACCATCTAAAAGAGAGAGATTGAGCAAGGGCATCTAATAACTGTGTTAAAATAGCATTAATTGTCTTTAATGGTTCATGTCCTTAAAATGCTCTATAATAATAGCGCACATGCACACGCACACTCACGGATAATCCACAACCGACAAAACCAGTCTAACTGTTAGTGAACTTGCTAGTGATTGGGTATCAATCGGAGTATAGAAATTTGGCTACACTGTCTCAATTCCTATCCGTGCAGAGCTTTAAGAATCAAGAATAACTGAGAAGTGTATATTTGTTCAGGGGTTGGAGATAAAGAAAAACAAAGTTCTATGGTTTGCTTGTGTAAAATAGAAAGATAATTAACATAATGAAGTTAGTGTACTGAGATGGATCGATAAACGGTGCAATTAAAGTAGATTTCAAGGTCATAGCAAACTTAATAAAACGCTTCAAAAACTGAATAATGACGCAGTTATAAAATCGATATTTTGCCCAATTTAGAGGGAAAGTATACTCAACTTTTAGCTCCTCAAAAATGGACTAAAGTCAAGAATAGCTTTCAGCAAAGAAAGATAATCAACGTAAAAAGAAAATAAGTAATCGTCTCGTAACCTCCGGATATTTTTGGAGGGGGGGGGGGATGTAGACACCAAATCAAACTCCATCTGTTCAAAAAATGTGCACTTTCAACGCTGAAACCTCCTAATTGCATATTGTCTTCTCTGGCTGATTTTATTTAAAAACCAATATGGTCATATATCTAAATGGTTTGATTGCGATAGACTTACCACGTGGTGCACCCTGAGCAAAAATGTCTATAAACTGACAGTTGACTTCTGACATCAAACTACCATGGCCCCACTGTACGTCATATTCGACTCCTTCAACAGCACCTAACTCACCTTTTTCTCTACCTTTGTGTCAGTCTGCCTCTTTTACATCTATGACTCACTCTTCCGTTCCCCTCCCCCCTCTCCTTCTCGACTTTTTCCCACTTTGATATACCTCTCCCCTGTGAAGCCCGAAGTCAGCTAAAGAGCTAATGAAAATTATCAAAACGCCTGCTATTTGATATAAATAAATAAATATCTTCACTTTGACAAATAGACGGAGAAAAAGCAAGCAAATGCTTCTATTGACGAAAAGAAGGCATTTCATTCTGACGGACTCGTTTTATCTTCTATACTGAAAGATGGCCTTGAATCGTGTAAAAAAGTGAGAGTGTTTGCAAGCAGCAGAATAAAGGCTGTTAGACATCGGTGCAAAAGTGCCCACTTTTTACGAAACTATTTAGCAACACTGAATTTGTCAACTGGAAAATTACATAAAATCAATCGATCTGCTGCTACGACTGAACGTTCGTTCTTTATTTGCACATGAAGCCAACCGAATCGATTACCAATTAGGTTTAATGAAATTAATACATTTACATAGAATGTGGTGTAATGGAGATTGGCTTATTGTATCCAAGAGTTTATATCAATTTTCCGATTTGAAGTAAGTTGACGAATGAAAAAGGAACCAAGCCAGTTGCGCTGGCAACATTGATTCAAATTTTAACAAAAAATCTGGAATCGAATAGCAAAAATTGTTTACGAATGTTCGGCTTCATTCTTTAAAGTAGAGCACTTTTTCAATTAAACGCTCTTCAAATCTTATGAGGAATGCAAAACGAACCAGTGCTTGTGACAGTGAAATTTAGTCCATTTGGGACTGAAATTGTAAAAAACGTCCTCATCTTCCTCCTCTTACAAAGGGTATCGACTGTGGAAATATCATTCAAATCTTTCTTTGAAATTTTTAATGGTCTTACTTCTTTGATGCCTCGCAGACCAACAGTGTCGGTGAACATCCAGCCAGAAGCATCGAGAATTATGTAATGAGTGGGTTTTGCGGGAGTTTTCTTCGAATCCTCCTCCAAGTCCGCGTCAGTTGAATCCTACAGAAAGAAAACATCAAGTACATTCGAGGTCAACGACCTTTGCACTTTTCAAGAGATTGAAAAATAACAACAATTTCGAGTTTTAAATACACCTCATTAGTTTATAAAATAGCAACAAGTTTGATTCATTTCAAGTAGGCGTAAATTTGGCTTCAATTAATAATTCCTCCAAATTCCCCGCGCTATCAAATTACTGCGTTAGAAATCACAAGTTTTGACCACTAAGACATCAGTGATGCCACGAACTCAAACATCAACTTGATAACTTTGAAAATACCGGTTTCTTTTAATAATCAACGGTAATATGGAAGTGCAGTTTGCCCTGAGTCCTAATTGTTGAATTAAATTTTCCCAAGTCAAATATACAAAGAAGGCGATCAGCGTTCTTTTTGTTAGAACGTGTGGAGTTATATGGTGAGGAGGGGGGATTAGTCTTAGGTGATGTATTATAACATAACATGTGTGCATTTTTCAGGATCAAGGGGTGTGCGATGGACTTACCTCCACGTGGCGCACCCTGGGCAATGTATACTATTAACCGGCAGTTGAATTCTCACTTTAAACTACCATGGCTCCACTGTATGTCATATTTCATCACTTACACAGTACTCACTTTACCTTTTTCTCTACCTCTGTGTTAGCCTCTTTAACATCTGGGAATCACTCTTCTGTTCTCCTCTCCAATTTTTCTCACCTTGATGTTCCTCCCCCCCCCCTGTGAAGCCCGAAGTCAGCTAAAGGGCTAATGACAACTATCACAACGCCTGCCATTTGAAATAAATAATTTTTTTTAGGATCAATAATGGTGAATATGATAATACGAAAGGAGTTCGATGTGCAAGATAATGAACTTTTAAATTTTTGAAAAAAGACCGCCTGGAGGAGTGGCAGATGTTAACTGAGACATTCGAATAGCGCATGATGAAAGCAGTCATTCAGGTGATTGCACCCAGAAAAAACCCGAATGATGTTAATTTCGGGTTATAATGTAACAGTGAAAACTAAGTAATTGTACTAACTTTATAAATGGAACAGATAATGACTAGAATGTTCAAATGACAACCTCAATCACATATACACTCTCCCATTGTGAAGGAATTTGTCTATAATTCGATTTAGTCCGACTTCTAATTTGAATTTCCCACTAGCATGTCCACAGTTTTAAACTCTTAACCGCAATCTGGACATGTCTAAGGGTTTACCACAAGGTCACTAAAGTACCAGGCCAAAAAATAAACTCAAAGTTGGCATTTGAAGAAAGACTGAATAAATGCACTCGTTTGGAAGATAAGCTACTTGTTTTATTCTCACTCCTGACAGACTGCTCAAATCTAAATTTAAGAAGAAAAGACAACATACTACGCGTTTTAGTTGTTCTTAAGATCCAATGTGATGTGGGGTGATGACAGTGCTATCTCTGCAAGAATCGATAGAAACATTCGAAGTACCTTTTTAACCACTTTTGATTAGAGCAACAATTTTACATTGTAACCATAAGTGGCTCATAATACAAATCGACCCATCAATTGGGAACGTGTGCAATGTTTTTTCGACAGCGTGTGGTTTGAACTGTAGTTTCGTAGATTTTTTTTTAATTGTACCCAATGCAATGTTTCAGGGGTATCTAAGTTTCAGCTTAACGACCAGAGAAGAGAGCAGAACACGGAATTTCGTTTTCGGAAATTCAAGATCAAAAAATAAAATTATTTACTATTTAAATTGTACTCAATTAAACATGTGTAAGAAAACAACCAAATCGCGCGAGATCGTTGGAGAGATTCTTTTCAACGAATGTATCACGCATGTCGTATCCTCATGGGCGCTAGGAACAATCCGAGTCAATTACAGCCTCAATTTTAAGCCAAAGAGTACAAGCCTATACATTTCTATAGTGATGGGATTTTATGCTTAATTGCTTCTAGATAAAGTTATGAAGATACGAAAAGCAACTCACAACTAAGATAAACGAGTGGTTTGAGAAAATTTGAAAATGGCGAGTATTATAATAATTGTGCCACAATCACAAAGATTCATCTACAACTTAAAGGTACTTGGTAATCAATTATTGCGTATTCACTTCTATTGGTGGAGAAAATAATGGCCAATGAAACAGCTGGCAATTTCTTAGCAATACAAATTCGGGTATCTTTCTGAATGTGAACAATAGCAACCATCGTGGAACCTATATAGCCACTCAACAGACTTTAGACCTGTTGGACAAAAAAATACAATTCTTTATCCAAGGAGTTTACATAAATTTTGGAATATGCCAAATTGCAGGGTCGTCACATTGAGAACGTTTTTTGGAGTATAATTTATTTTCAAGGCACCAAATCGTGTTTATACTTTGCCCTGAGATTTATGTGCGCTTTGGAGACAATTGGTTTATGACATCTTAATGTGTTTTCTAACTGAGAGGCGACCACTTGACTGCACCTTAAGTGACCACTAACTAATCATCTGCTTGATAAACAAACATACCTCCGGTATGCCGAGGACATGCACGCAACACCTGAACCATCTCTTAATGGCAATAAAATTCAGCTGAATTTCTATCTACTCACGATTTGTATTGGTTATGAGCCAGAGGAATAACAAACACAAAATCAACCAACGACTCAATGTATCTTCGAGTCGACCCTGGTCTTCAACTTCTCTTCCTAATCTCACCTTCATTCACGTTTTTCCGTTGCGTTTTAGTCTAACGCGACTCTCCGTCTTCTTATTTCTTGAAGGGCTGATGTGTCCTGTTGGTCTTTAAAAGGGTTAGTAGTATTTTTGATAGGAAATATCACTACACCTACTTCAGGAGACACTTAAAGTGGCTTCACGTTCTTTCACTGAACTTCCTCCAAAACCGGTAAATACAAATTCATCCAAAAAACGATTAATAATGATCACAAAAGGAATGAAAGAATCTGAATTTCTCTATCAGAGAGCTGAAAAGCACTCTATTGGCGCATGGTTCAACTTGGTTGTCTGTCGAGCTAGAGACCTCTTCTAAGGTCATACTTATAATACTCCCAAAGAATTTTCCAATTTTTCTGATCCCTTAACGGAAATAGATGTGATAACTACAACCAAAGACCTACAAATTTTCGACACTTGGGGGCATTTTTCGCATTTTCGTCACCATCAGTCCGTTTCAATCCCTTCTCTTCTGCGGTGACCTCAAGTTCACTGTCACAGCGAGTTCTAAAGACATTGGAGAGGACTTTGCCTCGGTGTTTGTTCCGTTGACGTCTGATTTTCACCGGATCCACGCCAGAAAGCCGATGGACACTTTTACGGAAGGATTCGATGTTTGCAAAGTAGACAGGACCGTCGTAGCGGATAATCTTGATGCCATCCAGTTCATTTAACTAAGAAAGGAGTAAAAGAAATGGGAATACATATATTTTTTTGAAAAAAAGTTACCCTAACACACAGAGAAGAAAGAAAATAAACCCATTCCGTTCGAATTTAAAAAAAACCAAAAATATCGGATCATTAATGAACAAAGGAGTGCGATAAATCATTCCACAGAATTCAAATTACTTATTTTATTCAGACGGATCCAGAGAGTTAATAAGCACAATAAACAGAGCTTAATAGTCAATGAAAGGGAACAACTCAATGTACCCGGGGGTTTGAATGTTTAAAAGTTGTGACTTAATTAACGAATCACCACAAAATTATTTCCTTTTGAAAGGGAAACACAGAACTAGAAAGATACTTTGCCCTAAAGTTTCAATAAAATTGTGAAAGAAGGAAATGAGGATAATTTAGTGTTTCACTTTGAAGTAGACTAGAATACAAATCTCCGACACAGGTTTAAATCAGAGAGACTCAGTAAAATATAACTAACTGTAAATGGGAAGACTCACCTCTTCGAAGCATTTGACCTCGGAATAGAGGTCAGTGCTGTTGGCCTCTCCGAGAAGGAATCGACCACCGTATTGACTTCTTGAGACGACTGTTAAGATGGAGTAGACAAAACCGATGGCAACCCCATAGATTATGTCAATTCCAAGAGTAGTGGCAAAAGACACCAACCAGATTGACTGAAAAGGAAACAGCAGTTGAGATTGTGGGTTAAATTCAAAAAGTTGCAATAAAGATTCAGGAGAAAGTGGGAGATCAATTTCTCCGACAAGCCTACGTTTCTATCAAATGGTAACTACGAACGTTTCTTGCGAACAGACAATACTTCCAAGATCAATAAGGAGTGGAACTGTTAATGCTTAACTTGAGTGGAAAGAGTCATTGAATTGAAACGAAAACGAACAAAACCTCTGTTAATTTCCGACACGATGTAAGTTTTGAAAGCGAATTCTAGTAACCCTTTATTTATGGGCACTTGCAAAGGTAAATAACTCAATTACCTATATATTACGAATTAATTAATTGATGATTACATTAAAGTTGACATGGAATGAAAAGAAGAAAAATGCACATAACCCAATGAAATACGCTGACTTGATTGTAATATTTTGGCCCCAGAAGTCAGTTTTATTCTATAAAGGGTGGTTCATATTACCGTTCTGTGTGCACTAAATGGAAAAAAGGGAACTGAAAATCGCATATTCCAGTCATTTTGGGGATAATTGAAAAGTTGTTCTCTTGATTTTTGAATAGTCAAGATCACACAAGATCATGGAAAAAATTGTGCGCCTTAGAAAACAGTTGCTCGACTGTAAAGACTATGTTGAAAGATTACTACAGGATCACGTGCTCAGATGGATGTGTGGGACACGTTATCGCGTTGTTCGTCACCGTATGCCT